ACACAATACTTACTGTTGAAAGAATTCAACAGATTGATCGTGGGTCAAAAGTACATAAACTAATAATTCAAATGACTGTTCATGATAAAAGACGGGAAAAAACATCTATCTTTGTCTCTCCCTCTCTCTGATGGTCGATCAGTCTCTTTTTCTGTCTGTCTGTCTCACTCATACATATAGTCTCTGTCTCATAAATGGTGTGTGTGTCGTGTGCGCACACATGCAGGCAGGATTGTATACATGTGTGCTTGCATGACATATAACATACCTGCTCATTTGTTTGCTCTAAAGTTAGACTGTCCTCTTCTTCCTTCTTTTTTCTTAGCTCTCGCTCTTTCCTCAACCTTTCCATCATTGCATCTTGCTCTTGTGCTATAAAGACATAAAGATGGAATCTACGAACTTCATGCCTTAGCAAAATGAAGCTGAAGAGAATAAAATTACTAATAAATAACTTTTGTTATTTCAACAATAACTAACCACCAAAGAAAGATATGTTTGAGTAAGGCCCACTATATTAGAAGATAGAACCTCAAATAATCTAGAGAGCAAACTTGATAAAAGCTGTCCCCCAAAAAGAATGTGTCAACAAAATTTTGGGTGTGGAGGATTCGATACCTATGGTTAACTAATGGCCATTCTTTTTACTATTATTATCCCTATTGTTATAATTATTTTTACTACTACAACGATTATTGCTTGGAAAGTCACCGTGGCGTTGGCTGCTAGACGCCCGCCCACGGATCGGAATGGTCGTGGGTTCGCATCCTGTCCTGACGGAGCCAGACTTTTTTTTCAAAAATAAGCTTGACTCCAAGGTCGACACAGCCTTGAGTGGGTACCAAGTGCAGTGCTGGGAAGTAAAGGTGGCTGGCGTGATGCTGACCACATCACCCACTAAAAGGCGATTGGTCAATAAAAATATGCCTCTAGCCCTATATTGCCAATATTAAAGGTGTGGAAAAGGGACTTTTATGATCAATACTACTAATATTTCTTTTTGATTATGTATATTATTCTTTTCATTATTTTTGTATCTTGATTTATTTGTTGTCCCGCATCATCTTTTCCTTTTCCAATATATTTTATAATTATTCACATATCTCCTTGTTAGCCAGGATAGTGCACCCCCTCCCCCACCCCGTTGTGTTTGCACTGATAAAAGCCACTGCTGAAACATCCTTTTGTTCCTCTGTGTGTGTGTGTGTGTGTGTGTGTGCACTTTCGCCTCCTCACTTGTGTTAAGCTTCTCAGTCATAGTTCAGTGGATTTTTTAATCATAGGAGCTATAGTTGGGTCTTCTGTGATGCTTTTGGTGGCGGCGACAGACCGCTGTTGGGAACAGACCGATCCATTAGCCATGAAACAGGTGCAGTGATATGGCTTCATAACCTTGGCTCCCAGGTTGACCCAGCTCTGAGGGGGTACCAGATGCAATCCTGGGTAAAAACAGTGGCCGAGGTGATGCTGACCACATCACCCACCAAGTGCTGACTGGTCTATAAAATATAGATCTAGCCCTATATGCCTACAGGTGTGGTAAAGGGTCCTTTCCTTTTTTAAGATATTGCTTCTCGTCTTTACACACCCTTTCCTTTTAATTTGACTTTTTTGTTGGTGTTGTCTTTCTGTCTTTCCAGACAAAAGTGTTGCACAATGCTATAAAGAGGCATTGGAATCATATGCAATGACAGGTGTGACAATCAAGAACCATACCACGGAATGTTATACTGATACACTGGAACAGAGCTTGCTGCAGAAGATGCCAGATCAGAAAAGCAGTTCCTTTTCTGTGACTGTTTGTCAAAGCTTCCATCTTAGACGAGCTGCCTGCCAAGCCCAAAGGTACAGACTGACCTACCATAACATTAAGTTTTCACTCTGAAAGCTTGCTGGGAAAGGTGAAAACAGGGATGCTTCGAGCAGAGTGGCAAGTTTCACTGGAAAAGTCACTGGTAGTGAACATACTTTTGATCTTTTCTCCAGGCTATGCCGGCGTGGTGGGTAATGAACAAGCACACAGATTGGCTGGATCTGCACCACTGGTTGGTGAATTGATAGATGACAGGGCAGATGTGGTTCAAGGCCCTTTGGAAACAGGCAACGGAATCATTAGAGATAGAAGATTATTATGGCCTTGAGAGGAATAGGCATCTGGGTGTAACCAGAGGGTCTGACCGGCTCACTACACTCAGAGGAACAGCAAGATGGACATACAACCAGATTGTGTCTGGTACCATCAGTATTGAAACTCTGAGGTGGCTGCTGAAGATGAGGACTGAGCATGCATGGGAACGCCCCGAGTGATGTCAATTCTTGACTCAACTCAACATTATGTTTTCAGGATGATTTCCCCTTCTTTGACGAAGGTGGGAAGAGGGAAAATACAGCATGCGCGCATGCACACACGCGCGCACACAGAGAGAGAGAGAGAGAGAGAGACTCGTATTCAGTATTTACAGATAACAGGTAGGAAAATCTGACTTTTGAAGCAAAGAAAACATGAAACTATTAACCTTGCTTTCTCTTTTCCCTTTCAAGCATTATATGACGTTTAAGAGCCTCATACATGGCTCGGGTCATTTTGGGTCGCTCGAGTAAAGCCGGCATGTTGAAATGCTTCAGTCACACAGCTGTCTAAAAAAGTGAAGATGCTTCTGAGTTCTAGAACACAATAAGACAAGCAAAAACTTATTAAAATAAATTAAAAACATCTTATGCAAAAATGTTTTTCAGTGGAGTTTAGTAAAAAACATTCTTCCATGCTACACAGGCACAATTTTACCATGTTGTTGTGTATTCTGGATAATTAGTAAAACAAGCAACAACAAAAGTGCTTGTGGTCTTAAGAGATGTAATTCAACAAAGATTTTGCATGCACATCCATTTTACAGATCTGGCTTATTTGTATAAAGGTTAAAGTCGAGAGGATCGACTTCATAGCACCTGGTTTTATCCCATAGGGCTCAGTCTCTCTCGGCAGAACAGCTAGCTGACTATTGAGAGCGTCAATCAGTACACAAACTCAGCAGCTCCAATGTATGTGTAGGCGTGTTTGTGTATTATGTATGTGTGTATCGGTAACTGTATAAGTTGTTGCCTGTGTGTGTTTGTGTATGTCTGTGTGTGAATGTGTCTCTAAAAGGGTGTGTCTGTCTGTGTCTACATGTATGTGTCTGTGTGTGTGTATGTATGTGTGTCTGCGACAGTGTCTTCTGTGTGTGCGTCTCTGTGTGTGCGTCTCTGTGTGTGTGTCTGCATGTGTGTCTATGCATGTATGTGTCTGCGTTGTCTATGTATGTATGTGTCTGCGTGTGTTGGTGTATATTCGTCTGGGTGTATGACTGTGTGTATGTGTATGTATGTTTATCTTTGTGTATGTGTTTGTGTGTGTGTTCTACGTGTATGTGTCCTTGTGGTGGTTGTGCATGTGTGACTGCATGAATGTCTGTGTCTATGTGTATTTCTGTGTATGTCCCTGTGTGTGTCTGTGTCTATATGTGTGTCTGTGTCTATATGTCTGTGTCTATATGTCTGTGTTTGTGTCTCCATGTGTGCGTATGTGTGTGTGTCTCCATGTGTGTGTGTTTGTGTGTCTGCATGTGTTTCTGTGCAGGTGAGTCCGTGTGTATCTTTATGTATGTGTGTGGAATGTGTGTGTATGTATATATGTGGGTGTGTGTGAATGTATGTGGGTGTATGGGCTAGAGTGTGCATGCACTTTACCACCCAAGCTTTTGTATTTATTCTTGATATTCACAATATGCATATTTTATATGAATATAACATGCTTTATTGATAAAATACCACTGCTGTGTTAAAGACAGGTGTTTGGAAGGGCCAAATGTAAGACAAGCCTGTGTGCCTAATATTTTACCCTTTGAAAATACAGTTCGTTCGTCTGCCTGGGACTTCCGTAAAAATTGCATTCGTGAACTGAACTATTTAATGGCATCCGTCAGTCCCGGGGGACTATGGAGATGTGCCGCTGGCTTTGGGAACAGCATCTGCTGTGACTGTATAGTCCGATGCGGGAATAGCAGTCTTTGCCACACAGGATACACACAAAAGCAGATACTCCCTCGTTGTGAGGCAGTTTTACTCTCCGGTGTCTCCTCTCCACAGCTCCTTGTGTTCGGTTTCTTTCAAAATGTGACAGTCCGTCTTTCACTTTCTGTTTCCATAGTAGTCGATGTGCAGCTGATATTTCCCATGTCTCTGTGCCTATGTTGGTATCTATTAGGTCACGTTTGCATACATCTTTATAGCGCAGCTTTGGCCTTCCTGTAGGTCTATTCCCAGTTACCAATTCACCATATAGAAGATCTTTTGGAATACGACCATCCTCCATGCTGGAGACATGTCCCAGCCAGCACAGACGTCTTTACTTCAGTATACAATACATTGATGGTATTTTTGCTCTTGTGAGCACACATTCGTTGGAGACAAGGTCTCGCCATGATATACCAAGGATGCGTCTCAGACAGCGCATATGGAAGGTATTCAGTCTTTTCTCCTGTGGAGCATAGAGAGTCCAGGATTCGCAGCCGTAAAGTAATGTGCTCAGGACACAAGACTCATAAACCTTCATTTTTGTATTATCAGTTAGCTTTTTGTTTGACCAGACTCTCTTTGTGAGATTTGCAAACATAGCAGAGGCCTTTCCTATACGTTTGTTTAGTTCTGCATCCAGAGAATGATTGCTTGAGATACTTGAGCCTAGGTACACAAACTCATTTACAGCCAGCAGCTGATGGTCATGCACACTAATGTTTGGTGGATTTCCAACATTCAATCCCATCACTTGTGTTTTGTTCAGACTGATGGTAAGCCCAAATTCTTTGCAAGCATTTGCAAAGCGATTCATCATGATCTGCAGATCATCCTCTGAATGTGCCACAATGGCTGCATCATCCGCAAACAGAAAATCCCTGAGGCATCTCGTGTGCACCTTCGTCCTTGCACGTAGCCTGGACAGATTAAAAAGATTGCCATCTGACCTCGAACGGAGGTATATCCCCTCAGTTGCTGTCCCAAATGCACGCCTCAATAATGCAGTAAAAAAGATGCCAAACAGCGTGGGAGCCAGAACACATCCTTGCTTTACTCCATTTCGAATCTGGAAGGGTCGAGATGATGAATCCTCATATATTATGGTCCCCCTCATTTTCTCATGAAAGGATTTGATTAGGCTCAGTAGTATAGGTGGGCATCCGTATTTTTCAAGGATCCCGAATAGACCATCTCTGCTGACATAGTCAAAGGCCTTAGTGAGATCTATGAAAGCAATGAGCAGTGGCCTCTATTGCTCTCTGCACTTCTCTTGTAGCTGCCTGATGGAGAAGATCATATCAACTGTTGATCTCTTGGCCCTAAACCCACACTGTGATTCCGGGTATACTCTGTCAGCTAGAATTTGCAACCTCTTTAGGATAACATGAGCAAAGACTTTTCCCACATAATTCAATAGAGAAATACCGCGATAGTTGTTGCAGTCGCTTCTATCACCTTTATTTTTATAAAGAGTTACAATGTTGGCATCTCTCATATCCTGTGGCACCGATTTTTCTTGCCAACACTGACAGAGGATCTTGTGTAGCTCAGGAAGAATAGCATCCTTGGAGCATTTTAGGATCTCAGGTGGGATACCATCCTCTCCTGGGGCCTTCCATGAAGGAAGCCCATCTACTGCCTCACCGATTTCTGTGACGGAGGGTTCCGTGTCTAGTTCACCCATGGTTGGCAGACACTCCATTGCATTACGCAGCCGTGAATTGAGCCCATGACCTTCAGAGCACGAGGCAAATGGCTTGACCACTTTGTCATGCCGACTGTTGGTTGATTGCCTCTCACGTAGATATACTACTGTGAGTGGGTTTCACTCTGCCTGTTATTCCCTGACTACTGACAGGCTACTAAAGGACAAAATGATTAATCAGCACTCCTCCTAATAACGGCCTCAAATTATTTAGCTCAAAATACTACCCTACAGGGCTTCAATGATATGTAAAATTAGGATGGATTTATTTCTGTCAAATATGGCAGGCAGACCATCAGCTCCCACACAAATTAGCAATAATATTCTACCGATTGATAAATTGGCAGCTGTAGATGTTAGACATGTGGACATTTGTTTTAATCAATAATAAACTACAGTGGTTGCAAACATCAAATGTCGTTAGCTTCGAGATTGGACTGTTGTGACAGATTCTTGTGGTGATGTTAGGGTTAGTCCTAACCCTAACCCCCCAAAAATTGAAGAGATTTGGATGCAACTCAAACTGAAGCAGCTATTGAGACCATGTAAGGGTAGGTTTTTGACCTAGATAATTTGGGGCCGTTATTATTCGGAAAAGTACTAAATAACCTTATACCTTGTATTTGAACTATTACTATGTGTGACTGTTATTAAGCCAGTTATGCTACAGTACAAAAGATCATTACAAAGTATACAATAAGCGGCTCTCCTCCGAACTTCAACCCGATATTATAGCGCCCATAAAATATCCTTATGGGGCTCAGTTCTATTAAAAATATGCCGGCTCCGTATAACGAAACAAATGCTCTAACAGGGTCTCAGCGATATGTTACTTGCGGACCTGTTTCTGTGACTATGCCTCACCGTCAATCGTATTCCCCCGTGCCACTACGTGCGGCTAGGATGGGGGCTAAACTAGATGGCTGGGACTCACAAGCAGCAGCTACCGCATCTCCTGCAACTTCCTCCAATTAATTTGCTCGTGAGTCCCAGGCACCTAGTTAAGCCCCCCATCCGCGCGTAGCGGCACGGGGGATACGCTCGGCGCTGAGTTTAATCGCGTTTTGCACATGCTATTATTATTATCGTCTGCTATCGTCTGCAGAAACGCTCGAAATTGTCAACGGTCGCTATTATAGTCTGCTACTATCGTCTGCAATGTTGTTTCTCTTGAAACTGTCAAGTAATCCTAATTTTGCCGCAATTTGTTGCTTTGCAGAAAGTCCGAATTTTACATATGCCTGAACCCCGTAAGGATATTTTATGGCCGTTATATATCCGGTTGAAGTTCGGAGGAGAGCCCAACAATAAGCAAATATACATAATAATATATTCATATAGTATTATAGAAAAAAACATTTTTTTAAATCATTACTAAAGTAAAACTAAGACGAGCACTGAAGACGTAGTAGCAGTAGAAAGTTAGACTAAGGTGAAAGTCGAATTTAAGTAGAAAGTCGTAGTTCGTAGCACCAGAGGTGAGAGCGAGCATTTTTTACAACTGTAAACATGACAAAACAGCCGTTACATATTCAGAATATGTCAGTATTCGATTCTCTCTTAATTATATCCAAACAGGAATGTAATAAATCCATATCTCGCTAGCGTCCAGCATTCAGTTCTACAAAATACCTCAATTTAAACAGCAGTTTCTGTTCTGAGACAAGTAAGTAGGTACACAGAACGCCACTGGCTGACCCGGAAATAGATTTCTACACAATGACTACAATGACATCAACAGCAAGTGGAGATAATCTGTTGGGTGTCCATTTCATCTGTAACTATTAACAGAAAATGACTAAGAGTTCGGTGGTTTAAAAAAGAAAACGAGATACTAACCATAAGCACCGAA